TTATTGAAGACAATCTGACTTCGGATTCTTTCTGTGGTTATTGTATAGACTAGCACTAATAGATGATGGATTGTCTATATTGATGAACGCTTGGCTTTACTGTTAAAACTTCTGTCTTTTACATGTAAGTATTTTCACATAATTACTGTACTTGACTGTACTGTTCAGATTCGTTAAGTCTAAAAGGGTCTATATTTAAAACACAGCTACCTTTGAGGTTTCGATGAGGAATTCGAAATGTTTCTGAATCAAATGTCTTGTAGTCCTAAGGACAGAAATTCCTTAGAAACAGAAAGGGCTAGCTCCTTGCCTAACAATATTTCAATAATGTTGTACTCTTAGAGACAGAAATAACTTAGAAACAGAAAGGGTGCTTTTTTACCGATATCTCAACATCGTGTTGTCTTAAAGACAGAAATTCTTTAGAAACAGAAAAATGTTGTCTACCAATATCACCATATTTCGTCTAAAAGACAGACATTCTTTGGAAACAGAAAGGGCGGTTTGTCTCTCAGTATTTTGACGGGCTGGCGGTGTATGTAATTACAACAATGACCAGTATGTATGGTTAGAGTCTTTACGGATAAGAAGCATTTCTCTGAAAACGATTTCAGATTTTCTGGCCCAGAGACATTTACGATTGTATCATTGCCATAGAAACAGGAAATTAAAGACGGTATATTGGTTTTGTCTCTGTAACACGAGAGCCACTTGACGGTAGATAATCTGTCGAGTCCAGCATAACGCCAGCCCAATGAATAATAACATTGAAACACTAGCACAGGTAAAACCTGCGCAGGTAAGAAACAAACAGACCGGCATATAATCAAAGTTCTTGTGCTGGCGTTGCTATGGAAGCCAGTCTAATAGAATGACTAACTACAGGTGGTTCCGGGGTCATTACGGTATGGTTCTGTAATCTAGGGTTCCGATAATGGTCGATTCCTTTGTTTATTTGCCTAGCTGTGATGTATGTCTTCGATTTGGTGCGGACGAAACGGAAGTAGTGAGTGAAAAGGACAATTCTTTTGGGATTATGGGATGTCGGATATCTAGCAGGATTGGGTGTTATTGCATGGACGCTGAATTGACTTGAGTGATGTTGATACAGGAAAAACGCTAGGAAACATGACATTGTAAGGCCAATGTGTAAAGGAAAAAGGAACGGAATTAAAAGTGATTTTATTTCGTTATATTCCGTATTCCACCTAACGTTATCTCGAATGGCAACTGATCCAGGTATAGCCTATCCTAATAAAAGCCATGTAGTAAAACGCCTTATTACGTCAAAATGGTTAAACAATTATTCTATAAAAATATCAGCGTTTTATTGCTCCTGATATTACCATAGGACATCAATAATACTTGTGTTTCGTAATCCGTTCGTTGTTTTCACTACAATTTACGGTATTTATATTTTTCGTTCAAGTTCACTATGAAGAAACAGATTTTAGGTGAAAATATCAAATACAAAATAATGGACATCACTGTAACGGACATGCTCGCTATAACAAGAGCATGGAATAATCCGAAAATACATTTACATTATGACTAATTTTGAAAAATTTGGAGTAGAAATGACGAATATAGTTGGTGCCTAGGGGGGACACGACAAAAGAGAAAGAGAATAGAAGTGGAATATATATATATATATATATATATATATAATAAAAAGGGATTAAATGTCCATGTGAAGGAAGTAAATATAAAAAAATAAGATTAACGACCGACTAAAAAACTAGCTGCTTTCACCCTTCACAGGGCTATTCAGGTTTAATTCAAAAGAACAACGTCGTGACGTCACAATTACATGTTATCACACTATATATATATATATATATATATAGAAAAAAATAAAATCAAACGACCGACTAAAACTTTAGATGGCCAAGTGGTCGAGGCGTCTGACATTCTGCTTCACTGTACCACTAGTCCTCTACCACTGTAGTCGCCAGCTACTGGTAGTAGGTCGGTGTTTGTTCTCCGGGAACTCCCGCTTTCCTCCACCGCCAAAACCTGGCACTTCCTAAAATGACCGTACGTAGCTGTTTATAGGACGTAAAACACAAACCAAACCATGGCGCAGCGACCCTTTGAAATGCTAGTTCTGACCTATGTACGAGATAAACTTTGTATGACTCATCTGTGCATAAGCAAAATTTGTTTAATGATATTGTTTCACCAAGAGCAAGATTTTTTTATTTTATTTTATATAAAATTCATTTTCTACAAAGTTACTGCCAAGTGTGAATTAATATAGCATGCATTTTGCGCCCTTTCCCGCGCTCCGAATGGGAATGAACGTTTTCATGCTGGTTTCGTTATTTTGTGTGAAGCTCTGGTAACTACATGTAGTAATATAATCAAAAATATATCATCCTAAAACTACAAAGATATATTGACTGATATGAATTTCTATTTCCCGGATTGGCACATGTGGATCCTCGCAATTAGTGGGAAGTCATGGAATATATATGATGAAGACTAACTCACTGTCTGAACGTCCAATTACCTCATAGTTATTTGGTTAAAAAAAAGGACCTTGTTTGTTTGTTTGCTAACTTGTGATACAGTTCTACAGGATGATGGCGTATATGGCTGTTTAGGGGGTTGTTTGAGCACCAAATTATACTAAGTTACTCTGAAATAGGGGTTGTCACTGTACCGAACGACTGATTGACTAGAGAGCGGAGCTAAAGGGATTGTCTCGGCAGCAATCGAATTAAACTGTGGATTAGTACAGCATGTATTGTGTCCACGCCATTCTGTCTCAATTTCCATATGCATGGGAACACGATACAGAGTGACACGTGCACGTGACGTTACGAATGTATTCGATGCACACGTGTCGGAATCGAATTGGAACATCTCATGTACGATGATAAGACTATACATAAAAAAATCCTCTGTCTTAATACAAGTAATATTCTTTCTCCCGTCAGAAACTTCTAAAGAGGAGGGCAAATTTGTACGCGATATATAGTACGGGTGTTAATGTAACATCTAGAGGAGTTCAGTAAACGAAACAGCGTAAACTACGTCTGTACCTAGTACCTACATGCAGAATCTAGAGGGGTTCAATAAACACGGTTCATTTTATGATTGGGAAGAATGTTTCGTTAAATTGTAATGGAATGCTGGGATGTAGGGGGTTATCATGATGAGTACATCCCTACACTTATTTCTGTTAGTGCTATCAAGAACACGGTAACAGGTGAAGTTATGTAAGAACCCACACATGTTGTAGAACGTTTAAATAGGTTATCTCATTGACTGTTTAAACAGAACTTCCGGTAAGGAGAAAACATCGTGTGTACTGATTTCGCTACTAATCCAGATACTGGTATGCGGGTGTGAATCAAACGCCAATAGAATTCGTGAAATCATAAACGTTCGTTACTTTCACATGTGCTTTATGAAAATGGTTATTGCTTGCTGTTTGCCATGAAGTATGGGGTCATAGTGCATTGCAGGTAAAAACAATACTTGCCAACGGATACCAATACAGTGCATCATTAGAGGCGGGAGTTCGAAATAAACGAGGTAAAATAACGCAGATTTATATTTCCTATCCCGATGGTCCATGAACCAAAAAATTTACTACATTGTTCAAAATGCTACTAATGATCTAGAATCCACGAAATCATATCTAGTTACAACGGTACAACGATAATGGATTGCGTTCACTTTTATAAACTATGAATCGTTAGTAGCTCATTAACTAGACAACAGAGAACGCGATTCTATTTTATACGTATTCTTACATGTATATAGCATAATGGCTAACGTCTGGCAATTAATGTGACTGTTTTTCACATTTTTTTCTGAAATAGCTTGATCTGCAGATATGAGGCTTCGATAAAAGAACAATACGTTATGTGTATTGGGTATCTCATCTCATGTTTGAGGAGAACCAATGCTATCGTGACGGAAAATTGTATTTAATGAAACAGGACTTTCATGAAATTAAACAAAAGATAATAGACAACAGCGTTCTGATTGTAAAAACATATCAGTGGGACCTGACAGGATTCGAACCCTGGACTTCAGATTGCAATGCTATCGCTCTAACCGAGTGCGATACCTTGTCAACGTAAGTAGCCTTGTCCAGCGGTGCTACAATTAAATCCAAAAAACGAAATAAAAAGGGAGTTACAGTGTATACAAAAAGGCAGAGTGCAGTGGGCGGGGGATCTTTAATCAAAGTTCTCCGATTTCTTTTCTTTTGTTCACCAGAAAAAAAACTATCTTTTGCTGAACCTTAACAACTGTATACATTTAGACAATTTGTAGGCCGAATTTCCTACTGTTGTTCCCCTCGCGTGGATACACCACATAAATACGGCTCATTGATTTTCTTTCGCGGCGTTCATTTGCGTTGAGAGCCTTTTGCGGATTTAATTCTTCCGTGAAATTTATGCCGAAGTCACGACACTTATTCTTAACAAAAAAAACACCATTAAATCTGTTCTTAAATGAGGTGTACAATAAGAATTTTTCCAACTTACTCGCAAAAAAATATTTGTTTACAGTAATATATGCAATTTCGGAATTTGTCCTCATTTTATGGTTATACTTCTCACAGCCGACACTGGCGGAGAAACATTTCGCGTACGCTCTCGAAAATTGAGTGATCTACAGCATAGTAAGAGTACCTGTACTCCAGCGTGTGTTACTTGTCCTCATTCAACGGTTATATATCACGAATATATATACTGCACACAGCTGACAGTGGCGAGGAAACATTCCGCGGACGTTCCTGGGATTGTCAGGCCGTACAACATTGCTCATTTGTACGTTCATGTATCAGCCAATCTACACGACTATAAGCACGTGTAAATCTCTATAAGTTCCAATTAATTAGGTTGGTGCGAGGGTGATGAACACGACATGGCATGCGCTGCACGTGTCAGAAAAAAATGACCTCTCGCCAAACCGTAGATCCAAGATGCTCTCAATTGTATGAAAATAACACTGGTTTTCTGATTTTCTTGTAACAGAACTAGATGGATGTGGTGCAGAGAAGGAAGCGTTCTGGACTTATTTCCGAATAGTGATACGATGACCACGCAGCACGCAGAGCATCTGCCATGGTGTATCTACCAAATCTAAGTGAGTATAAAGAACGTTTTCACGTTTGATAAAATTATACATCTTTGTTTACTCAATTCCATCTTAATAGTCATCGCCATTTTCCTGGCTAATTATCTAATTGCATTTTCCGACATCCCGTCTTGGAGTTTTGCTCGTTTCCTGAAGGCAGAGCTAGTGCCGTAGTTAGGATGCCAAAAGGAACCATTCCCGGCCATAATTTAATTTGTTAATGTAGTGGAGTGTTGGGGCCAGTCACCACCTTATTACGACTGCAGTGGCTGGCTATAATAACACTCTATCACCCGTGCGTACAGCGTTATTTTGATTTGGCCAGGGAATTCGGCGGACGTTCCGTCTATATCATAACTAGTGTTGGAGCTTACAAGTGTAAACTCATTCTGAGACCGCCGGCGCCTGGAAAAGGTAATGATGTGTTGTATGTTAGAGAGAGGTTTCCTTCAACTATCATGAATATCTGTGTAGAAATGGATTTTCATTTTCGGGCATTATATTACTGATATTAATTTGTGTCGGGTAAAAATTAACAATAGCTCATGGTACATGTATCTATATGTATGGGTGATGAAGGTTTTTTGCGATAAAATATTATTTCGTGATCAGTTTAGTACATTTATCAATGGTTCGATTTTTTACATAGCTAATGAATGACGGGATCTTGTAACCAGTTAGAGTGGATTATAAAGATATCAGTATGTAACATCATGGTAATATAATGAATTATACAGCTATGTGTTATAAAGATACTACTATACCATTGTATTAGGTAGTGTAGCGGAACTGGACTGGGTCGATCCTCGACGACCAGGTAGCTCAATATTGGTAGAGCGTCCGTCTCCATCTACTGTTACAGTGGTGCTTGTGGCCAACCCTTGTTTCAAGCATTGGGTACGCTTGACAAGAGGGATACCTACACCTGGGTTGTAAATAGTGGTCTTCGAGGGCGAATACTGACAAAAAGGAAGGAGGAATATAGCGGAACCTGACTGGGTCGGTCGTCGACGACCAGGTAGCTCGATTGGTAGAGGTCCTGGTTTCGAACCCCGATCTGGCCGTGCATTTTTTCCTCTCCTGTTACAGTAGTATATTGAAGTTATACAGATTTTATAACGATATCAATGCCTTTGCAATTATTACACTGAAAGTATACAGTTTATAATGACGTCATTGCATCGACGTGATGGTAGAACATGTACGTATGTAACGATATTGGTGTGATCTTCATATTGAAATTACAAGAACTTGTAGAAATGACAGTAATCGAGTGGTAGAATAATACGATAACGTTATACAGTGTAGCAGGAACGAACAGTAAAACCTTGTTATACTGTAACGAATTAGGCGTTATGGAGGCATTTTGGGATAAATTGAGAGAAATGTATGGAAGAATTCTTAAGAAAAGAGGAAAAAGGGCATTGGAATATTTGTTGGAGGTAAACGAGGTGACAAATGAAACGAGGGGCATTATCGAGGTTTTACTGTATATAGATATTGCACTATACATACTTCTAAGCAAGTATTTTGAGTGAGAGAGATACAGTTTACATGTAACAGTATAGCTTATATATGTCTATCAGTACATGTAATACTGCATGTCGGGAGAGTACCTAGCCCGAGTTTCCTCTGGCCCTAACACCAGACTTAGACATTTTAACATAAAGATATTTACCTCTGGCCCTCACACCAGACTTAGACATTTTGACATAAAGATATTTACCTCTGGCCCTAACACCAGACTTAGACATTTTGACATATAGATATTTTCCCCTGGCCCTCACACCAGACTTAGACATTTTGACATAAAGATATTTTCCTCTGGCCCTAACACCAGACTTAGACATTTTGACATAACTATAGATATCTATAAGTCTGGTGTTAGGGCCAGAGGAAACTCAGGCTAGAAAGTACCAACCGTTTAATATTCGCCTTCTAACTGTAAAATGTGTATATGTTCGCGATAATTGTGCTCTTCTCGGTGAAAATGCTAATTACTACTACTCTTTTCTATGCCATGTATATTTCCCGGTATAGACTTTGATAGATGTACATGATCAAAGGTAGCGGAACATAATGGGAGATACAGTGCGGTAAATATCACCCGGTATAAAATGGTCTTACACGACTTTCTGTTTCATACATATTTTTGCAATAGTCAACATCTCAAATCCAAAGTTTGGAGTAAGCTGTAATGATACAATGATAAAGTGTTTAACGAAACGTTATACTTTAACGAAATGATAGCTCAGTTAAGGGGTGTCGTAAACGGAATGATAGTTCAGTTAAGGGGTGTCGTAAACGGAATGATAGTTCAGTGTAAGGGGTGTCGTTAACGGAATGATAGTTCAGTGTAAGGGGTGTCGTTAACGGAATGATAGTTCAGTGTAAGGGGTGTCATTAACGGAATGATAGTTCAGTGTAAGGGGTGTCGTTAACGGAATGATGGTTCAGTGTAAGGGGGGTCGTTAACGGAATGATGGTTCAGTGTAAGGGGGGTCGTTAACGGAATGATACCTCAGTGTAACGGGTGTCGTTAACGGAATGAAAGTTCAGTGGAAGGGGTGTCGTGAACGGAATGATAGCTCAGTGTAAGGGGCGTCGTTAACGGAATGATAGATCAGTGTAAGGGGTGTCGGTAACGGAATGATAGTTCAGTGGAAGGGGTGTCGTTAACGAAATGATAGCTCAGTGTAAGGGGTGTTGTTAACGGAATGATAGCTCAGTGAAAGGGGTGTCGTTAACGGAATGATAGCTCAGTGTAAGGGGTGTCGTTAGCGGAATGATAGCTCAGTGTAACGGGTGTCGTTAACGGAATGATAGCTCAGTGTCACGGGTGTCGTTAACGGAATGATAGCTCAGTGAAAGGGGGGTCGTTAACGGAATGATAGCTCAGTGTAAGGGGGGTCGTTAACGGAATGATAGCTCAGTGTAACGGGAGTCGTTAACGGAATGATAGCTCAGTGTAACGGGGGTCGTTAACGGAATGATAGCTCAGTGTAAGGGGTGTTGTTAACGGAATGATAGCTCAGTGAAAGGGGTGTCGTTAACGGACTGATAGCTCAGTGCAAGGGGTGTCGTTAACGGAATGATAGCTCAGGGTAAGGGGTGTCGTTAACGGAATGATAGCTCAGTGAAAGGGGGGTCGTTAACGGAATGATAGCTCAGTGTAAGGGGTGTCGTTAACGGAATGATAGCTCAGTGTAACGGGTGTCGTTCGTTTACTATTGTACCTCAAGCTAATCGATTGCTTTCAATTTTTTGGCAATCTTTCATTTTTGAAGTAACCGTCTAAATGACAACTAAGACATAATTACAGTGGTTGTTCAAAGCCTTCTACAGGAGTACTTTGTACGTCTCTTCATATCGAATATTGAATTTAAATTGGTGATTTAAAAAAATGTTTTTGTAAAAACACGCTAATTGAAACCTCCCTAAACTAGATACAGTGAACGATCGACGAAACGTTAATATTTAGGTTCGTCTGAAACGGCGTTAACAACGTAGCTATTAGACCGACAGAATGTCTGGTAGTGTTTTTTTTTATAATATTTGAAATTTCATAATACAGACAAAATTAAAGGCCTTAATACGACGCTGTGTGTCGAACGCACATTGGTGAACGATGTGTCGGATAATGGGAATACATAATACCGAACTAGAATTGGAAAGGACGATCAAACCATTTGGATTAGCATTGGCTCCCCCTGATCAGAATGGATCACTATAGCTGTGATTATAAAGAATGTATGTGTTTATGTCAGCATCAATAATTTAGGTTACAGTCAACACGATCTGGCTTCACATGGCTTTGACCAGGATCGGCTGTGTGCACGAACAGCGTGGGTAACAAGTTACCTATTAGATGGTACAAGTATTACATTATAGTATATACTGTTATCTTCGGGCAGTTTCGAATTCGTACACGGTTTTAATGCACTGCTGCAGGCAGGCATCAGACTTTAGAAAATAATTTATTTAATAAATTATTGTATAAGTCAACTAATAAAGAACACTGTATAATCTGGTGTTGGCAGTGTTGGTTTCTAATATTGGGGGCAAGAAGGAGCCAAAATTAATCTCTTGTCCCAGTTTTTATCATCTGGTGTGGCTCGTATATTTTCTTTCTCTCGCGTCTGCTCTTCCTATTCATATGTAACTTTGTCTGGTATCGTACGGATGTGTTAATCCTACGGGATGGCTCGCCACACTGACCCTAATTAGGAGCCAACAATAGTAAATCATGTTACCTGTTGTTACATATAAGGTATTGCACCAAAATCAAATAAATAATTTGTGCATAAATGTTTATATTTACTTTTTCCGCTGCAAGTCACCATACACGTATACATACTTACAAAAATGCCTACCGCTTCGCACCGTAAGAGGCAAACATTTAAATGATGTTATTGCCTATTTCCAGGAGTGTCGTTTGCATTATGACGATACAGAAACTTCAATACCTTAATTGTTAAGGTATGCTTTTATTTAGATCACTAATAACTATAAATCTAGAATGTGAAATTCCATATTCAATGTAGTTTGTGAAACATCCATGCCCGTATGAATGCAATTAAATTGATTTCATCCATGTTTAACAGGCGACCCTAGCGGATTTTGTACAATAGGGTTGTTTCCAAGTTGTGTTCATACTAGCATGACTATTTAAAACAAACAAAATCCGTAAAGTCCCCATATGGGTGATTGAGTATATGGGATAACGGTTTGATAGGTAAGGGTAACGCACAAACAGTCTATGCATGCATTTTCAAGACAGCACGAACTGATATTCAAATTGCAACATATTGTTTAGTTTGGGATGTTTGGGATTTATGTACTTTTCAGGTATGATCACTACCATCTAAAGTTATGTATCCAGGTATTTTTTCCAACATATTTTTTATGGAGTTATTACCCTTTGTTGAAAAAATCCTTGTCCTGACAACTTGTCCTAATTTACTGGGACAATTTCAACGAAAGTTTACACATACGACAACTACCCATTG